TTGTTGCAGCCATAGAATAATACCATTAGCTAGGCTGGAAAAGACCTTCAAGATCTTCAGGTCCAACCATTCCCCAGCACTGCCAAGGCCACCACTAACCCATGTCATTAGGGGCCTCGTCTACACGGTTTGTGAGCACTTCCAGGGACGGTGATTCCAGCACTGCCCTGGGCAGCCTGTTCCAATGCCTGACTGTTCTCTGGGGAAGAAATAGTTCCCAATATCCAGTCTAAACTGCTTGAGGCAGTTGCTTGAGGCTGCCTGGTGCAGCTTGAGGTCATTTCCTCTTGTACTATCCCTTGTTCCTTGGGAGAAGAGCCCAGCCACCTCCTGGCTCCATCCTCCTGTCAGTCGTAGAGAGCGATAAGGTCCCACCTGAGCCCTCTCCAGGCTAAACCCCCTAGGTCCCTCAGCCATTCCCCATCACACTTGTTCTCCAGGCCCTTCACCAGCTCCGTTGCCCTTCAGTAAGTTCTGTTTGTTTTTCCTTACTTTGATATTGTTGATCACACAGACAAGCAAAGGGCACTGCACCAGCTGTGTCGTGTGTTAGTGTCTGACAGCTGTGCTGCCAGCAGTCCTCTCTTCCCCACAGCCAACAGAGGTTAACTGACTTCTGACTGGTGGGTACAGTAGATGCTCTGCAGTGCTCAGGGTGAGGTTTCCTTGCCACCTGTCTTCACTGAGCAACTGCTGTCTTGGTACTGCAACTGTTGAGAGGACAGTTGCCAGGCATCTGTTGCAAGAGAATACAGCACTGTGGCAACACAGGAGGGGTTTTTCTCCTGACAAATATTTGACAAAGATTTAAACTGACTGATTTGGTTGTCTGAAAGAAGTTGGGATAGGATCTGAGGCCCTTAGAGACACAGTTTAGTGGTGGGCTTGGCAGTCCTGGGGTAAGGGTTGGACTTGCAGGTCTTTTCCAACCCAACTGATTCTATATAGTAGGGTTTCAGTCAGGTGAGGTGCAAGTGATGTGCAAGAAGCTTATTAAAGCCAAAAAAAGTCAGGCTGAGAGAAAGTGTGTGGGTAGGGAATTCAGGAGAACAGATCTCATTACTTTGGGTATTACATCCCTGACAATATTAGCAGAAAGATGTCCTTAAACTGCTACTACTTTTTCGTACTTTTCTGAAGTAGCAATGTGACTGTTGCTCAAAACTTGCTTTCCGTGCCAGTACATTTATACTGTCTAGCCTGGACATATGTAAGGTGTGCCTCACCATGGGAAACTCTGGGAGCAAAAACCTCATTGGAGATTTTGGAATTGCAGGAAAGACACAAAATTACAACTAGTCCTTAGGAAATTCTACGAAAGGAATTGAGTGTTGTGGTTCACAGAACCTTTTATAGCTGGATTTTGGGCAGTTATTAAATTCCAAGAGTTTTAAGATTGGTTACCCCTTTACATTGTAAGTATTTCCAGCTTTCTTCTTAACCAGATATATGGGGGATGAAACAGATTAACTTTGAGTTGATCCTGGATAAATCTAACTTTCTTTATAGGAAAGCAAACCATGGGGTTTCCAGTTTATAACTACAAGGATCGCTCAGATAACAAGCTGTACCACCTTCACACTCCCCAGAGCCCCCTGGTGCGGCCCAGCATGTATGACTATTATGGGATGGACAGCTATCCAGTTGGCACCAATTCGATTGTGGCTGTCATCTCCTACAGTGGCTATGACATGGAAGATGCAATGGTAAGGCACTGAAGGAGAACTCATGCTGTCCTGTAGAGGATGCTGGGGACTTGGGAGGAAGGGTGGTACCTCACTGAGGAGAGCCTGTTTTCTGCTTCTGCTAGTCCACAGACTCTCTAAATACAGATGTAGGAGCACAGTGGTTAAGTGTTACATCAGGTAATGCTGGAAGTACTGAGAATAGAGTGGAGCTCCCTTGGGCAAGGCATTGAGAAATCCTGGGGTTCCAGGAGGTTTGGGCCTTTTGGAACAGTGACTTGCTGGGAGGCTTTGTTTAGGGAAACAATGTTAAAAAGGTGAGCATCAGATCAGAATGGAAATGCTTTTTGTGTTGCAATTACCACCAAGTCTTTAACAAGCCTTTGTTGTTTCTTTGTAGATCGTGAACAAGTCTTCCTGGCAGAGAGGGTTTGCCTATGGAAGCGTTATCAAGATGGAGAGCATTGACCTTTCCCTTAAAGCCAGCAGGGCAGGCGATAATTTAGTCTTTGGCATCAAGCCTGGTGACCTGAACGTTACGGAGAAGTTGGATGCTGATGGACTGCCTTTTGTTGGCTCCATCCTACAGCCTGGGGACCCCTTCTACAGCTTCATGAACCTCACCACAGGGGAGACCTTCACTGTGTACTATTCGTAAGTACAGCTTGTCCCTCTTGGCTCCACACACCAGTCTGAGAGCAGTTGGTCCTGATGAGCTGCAGTGTCTTCTCCTCCAGATGTTCCCTTCCCTCCTCACGTCATAGTGTCCATGTCCTGACAGAGAGAGTGTGAAGTTCATGTTGTAGGTGACTCCCATGCATGTGTCACGGCTTTTCTCTAAGCCAATGTATGCTGCAGAGCTTCTTATCCCAGGAGGAGAATCTGAGGCCGGTAAAGAGCTTGCAGAAATGTCTCACAGTCTCCAAGGACTGTTCCCCTGCCCAACGCCTGTAGTAATTTTCTGTAGCTTCTTATGAATTGATTCACAAGAGGGCTTCTGTTTAACAAGAAACAGCCAAAAAACCACCAAACAGAAAACCAAAACAAAGTGCCTGATCCCAGAGACTCGCCAGAAAAAACTTGGAAGCAAAGTTAGATTAGATATTAGGAAGAAATTCTTCTGAGGGTGGTGAGGCTCTGGCACAGGGTGCCCAGAGAAGCTGTGGCTGCCCCATCCCTGGCAGTGTTCAAGGCCAGATTGGACAGGGCTTGGAGCAACCTGGTCTAGTGTGAGGTGTCCCTGCCCGTGGCAGGGGGTTGGAACCAGATGAGTTTTAAGGTTCCTTCCAGCCCAAACCATTCTAGGATTCTAAGTTGTTACAGCATTAGGAGCTTTCTATTAACACTGCAGCTTCCAAACTGCTCGTGTATTAAAATGCATCAGCTACATCCCTTCCTCTGCCCTGGAATATTTCAGGGATAAGCTCTGTCAGATTGTTCTTGAACTTCCACTGACTGAGGGAAGGCTGCTGAGGCTTTCATTTAAACTCTTAATTCTTTCAGGAAAGGGAAACAAAAACATTGACAAACCCATATATTTAAGTGCATCCTGCGCTCTGTACAACTTCAGGCCTTATATGTGTCTCTGTAGCATTGATAGAGTGAGGATAATGCTGTGTAGCGTTAGGGAGGCGAATCAGTTTGAGAAGAACTTGAGCAACACACGGAGTGGTCTTACTGGAAAAGCTGTTTGTTGCTCTAACAGTGCCTTAAGTGCCCAGGAGACTGCTGTGGATGACTGCTCAGTCATCCTGGTTGTAGAGCAGAGCAAGGAAATTCAGCACATGGTAGTGGGGATGTGGAAGCTCAGCTTTGTCCTTGCCCTTGTGGAGCCCTTTAGCTTTCTCACCCTACGCTTCTGCTCCCAGCTGTCTTGTGGCAGCCCAGCCTTAGTTCAGGTTCCTTATCCAGAGAGACTTTTTACTTCTGCTATCCAGCTTTTGTTCATTCGTGGTCCAAATCTGATTATTATTTAGAATTCCTATAAAAGCATGAGGTTCCCAGCTCTCAGTGCTGGCTCCTGTCCCCCATTTGCCAAAAAAATCCCCCAGCTCCTTCAGGGAGAAGGGCTGCTGCCTTAACACAAAGCACATGGCACTGGGATGCAGTTTGTCAGATAAAGTAGGATACAGATAAACCAGGTTCAAATGAGCTTTATTTTAAATCACCTGGAAGTTGTAGCTGTGCTTATAGTATGAGAAAAAGCAATTTCATGGCACTTGTGTAGATGCCACTGAACTGCTTCCTTGCCCTCATGCTCATGCAGTCTGATTTCCCTGGCTACTGAGTCGTACTCTTCCAGAACGGTCAATCAGCTCCCTGACCCCTTTGCTGTGGTTGTTTTTCCCACCTACACAGGAGTAAGGAAGTCGGCATTGTGGACAACGTCAGGTTATGCAGCAACGACCGTGGCACTGGGAAGTTCAAGAAGGCCTGCATCACCGTGAGGGTTCCCCGGAACCCAACCATTGGAGACAAATTCGCCAGCCGTCACGGACAGAAAGGTATCCTGAGCCAGCTCTGGCCAGTGGAGGACATGCCCTTCACGGAGAACGGGATGGTTCCAGACATCCTCTTCAACCCTCACGGCTTTCCCTCCCGCATGACCATTGGGATGCTAATCGAGAGCATGGCGGGGAAGTCAGCAGCGCTGCACGGCGTCTCCTATGATGCCACTCCCTTCACCTTCACGGAGAAGAACTCTGCCCTGAAGTACTTCGGTGAGACTTTAGTGAGTGCTGGTTATAACTTCTTTGGGACGGAAAAGATGTACAGTGGCATCAGCGGCCTGGAGCTGGAGGCAGAGATCTTTGTGGGAGTGGTGTACTACCAGCGCCTGCGCCACATGGTCTCAGACAAGTTCCAGGTGAGGACAACGGGGCCCCGAGACGCTGTCACCAACCAGCCTGTCAAGGGGAGGAACGTGGAAGGTGGGATTCGCTTCGGTGAGATGGAACGAGACGCTTTGCTGGCTCATGGCACCTCCTTCTTGCTGCAAGACCGGCTGTTCAACTGCTCCGATGGCTCCATCGCCTACATCTGCACGAGCTGCAGCAGCATGACATCTCCTGTGCTGGAGAAACAGCCCCAGTCCTCCATGCCAAGCAGCAGGAGGTACTCCTGCTCTGTCTGCAGCGGGGTGGACTCCATCGAGGTGGTCCCTGTGCCCCACGTCTTCCGGTACTTCGTGGCAGAGCTGGCAGCCATGAACATAAAAACAAAGCTCAACGTGGAGTAGCGCTGTCCCCAGGCACGGCGATGCTGCTGCTGGCAGGGAGGAAGCACAGGTCGGTCCTGCCTCTGCCCCAGTGCGGGTTTCAAGTGTTAAGTCAGTTCTCAGGTTCTTCAACGTTTGCAAGATTAATTTGGTGTTGGTATTGCGACGGGGCGGTCGCTGAGCTGTGTGGTGAGGCAACACAGCTCTGCTGAAGTTCATTTGCACTTCCTAAAGGATCACGGGCACCAGGCATAAGGAAATCAAGCAATATCACTGCTCCCACCAGGCTGCTGCGTTGAGAGCGGTGCGGGTTCTTCGTTCTCTGAGCGCTGGCTGCAGCTGCAAAAATGAAGAAGTCATAAAATGGCATGAAGTGAATGCTGGAAATTATGGGAAAAAAAGAGATAAACTTTTGGTTTTCGGAGAAAAATCCTTGCAAAACGTATGCCTGAATGATGGGTATGTGTTAAAGTGATCAGACATGTTTTACTTTGCTTTATTTCAACACCATGTGCCTTGAAACTCATGAAGAAGAAGAAGGCACCGACTTTAACCGCATGAAGCTGCAGCCTTGACCCCAAGAGACCAGCATGGCCAAGCCAGGCCTGACCCGAGGAGCATTTGGTGTCGCTGAGCCCAGCGCCTGGCTTGGTGCAGCACCGCAGGCGGCTTTTTGGTGCGTTGGCTGAAGCAGCAGCAAGCAGAGGGCTTTCCAGCCTGGCTGGAACGCATGGACACGGTGGGACAGGAGCTCGCCGCGTCCCCTGCTGCAGCTGCTTTCCCGGCGGCCGCCGGCCCCGGAGCTGTGTGCCCGTTAAAGAGTTCTTTTGTACGTTTCTAATCACCTGTGTGCCGAGCCGTGCTGGGGGCCGCGGGTGAGGGCGGGCTCCGCGGGGCGCCCTTCCCAGGGCTTGGCGGGCGGCGGCAGGCGGGAGGCGGTGGGGGTGTCCCCGGTGGGCGAGGCCCGGGGCCGCCGCACCCCCGGCGGCTCCTGCCCGCTCTGCACCAGCCGCAGCACCTCGGCGAAGGACGGGGAGGGCGGCGGCGCGGCGGGGAGCGGACCCGGGGCCTGCTCCATGGCGTGGAGACGGTGCGGATGGACCGTACCACCGGGGCGGGGGAAGCGGGCGCTACCATTGCAGGAGAGGCGGGAGCGGCGGTACCACTGCTGCTGGAGGGGAGGCAGGCGGTGCCATTGCAGGGGAGGCGGGGGACAGCAGCCAGTCCCCGCAGCCCCGGGGGCCGCCCCGCCGCGATGCCAGGTGATGGGCGGTGGTTGGGGGCTGAGCCCTCGGCAGCCCGCTGCGGCTGCCATGGAGGTGCCCTGGGTGCTGGTGGCTGCCGCTCTGCTCCTGCTGTTGCCCTGTGAGTACCCCCGGGAGGGACAGCCAGGCAGGGAGTGAAGGGCGAGTGTGGTGGGTGGGATGTGCAGGGGACACGGTGCCCCCTGACACCTGTCCCTACAGCTGGCAGGGCTGCTGGGCCGCTGCCCACCCTGGCCCCACCGCTGAGCATGGAGGTGGCCGGGCAGCACCGGCGGCTGGTGGTCTGCGTGGTGAGCGAGCTGACCCCTGGCTCCGGCCATGCCGTCTGGATCTCCGGTGGGAATGGCAGCATCCTGCAGTCGTTTTCCTACGGGGCCTCCCAGGAGGACGGTGGAACCATCTGCACTGTCTCCCTCCTCCCTGATGACCTCCCAGCTGAGGGGGATCTCGCCTGCCATGTGGGGCCCACCACGACCTCCCCGGCCCAGAGCTCCAGCCCCATCCCCATCACGGGTATGCCCCCCCCCCCCGATACCCCATCTGCTTGCCTTGGTGCTGCTGCCCAGCACCATGGTGCCCTCCAAGGATGCGGGATCCAGGAGCAGGTGTGAGGCCCCACAAGCCAACGTTGCTGCCTCAGCGAAGAGGCACAGGAAGGGGTTTGCGGTGGGCCCTGCCTCACACCTGGTGCCTCCCCAGCTGCTCTCTCATCCCCCAGGCAATGAAGAGGTGGCAGAGCTGTGTCCCAGCAACATGGCTGGTGAGTCTCCAGTCCATGTAATGGTGGGGACGTCTGTTGTCACAGAGGAAACCCGTTGGGCTATTGGCAGGGACCCAGCTGGGATCATAGGGTGGGTCCCCATAGTGTGGTGGGGCTGGGGAAGAGGGGGTGAAGCTCTTAGTGAGGAGGAGGGAGAAAGTGGCTCAGAGGGACAGTGTGAGGGTGTCACAAGGTGTCTTAGGGAATTGTGAGGGTGGGCAAAAGCCCATGACAGGCCCTGGGGAGGCTGCTGGGCCTGAAGTCTTGGGGACACTGGCCCCACTGCAGCCCTGGAGGGGATGTTGAGGGGCAGCAGTGTGCCTGTGGGAGGCATCACCCTGCCCCTTCCATTGCAGTGCCGCTGCTCCACGCCTCAACAGCCCTGCTCGTGGCTGTGCGGGTGGTGCTGCTGAAGGTCGCGCTCTCCAGTGCCCTCTTCACCTCCGTTCTCCTTGCCCAGAGCTGACAGGTGAGTGCTGGGTTGGCCTTTGGAGCACCCCCAGTCGGGGGAGGGAGGGACCCCGTGTTCTGGGGGGGAACCATGGGGCTGGGGAAGAGAAAGGGGCTGCCGTGGTGCTGCGGGTGGCGGGGACCGTAGCGGCACCGCCGCCAGCCACGTGGAGCCCGGCGGCGCGTCTACGGCGGCCGGGAGGGCCCCGCTCTGTGCGCGCTGGGCTTGGCGCCCGGAATGGCGGGACGGGATTGGCCGGTCCGACCACGCGCAGCGCTGCGATTGGCTGGCGCCGCGCGGTTGCTATGGTTACCTTGAGGGGTGGGCGCAGTGCGCCCGGAAGCGCGGTCCCCGGAAGTGGAGCCATGGCGGCGGCGGCGGTGGCCGCAGCGCTGCTGCTGATGGTGGCGGCGGCGGGAGGCGACGACTCGGACTGGGTGCGGCTGCCCAGCAAGTGCGAGGGTAAGCGGGGCCAGGGCAGGCCGCATGGCACCGGCTCGGTGCTCCGGCCGGGGGGGTTCCCTGCGCGGAGGCTGCGGGCTGCCCCTCTGCCCTGCCCCGCCGATGGGGGAGACGGGTGAGCCATGGGGCCGCTGCTGCTGCGTGCCCACCGGTGCCCCCGCGGCGGGGCAGAGCTGAGCCTCCCTCGGCCTGTCCCTGCTGGCGGGTGTCTGCTGCCCTTCCGCCGGTTAGAGGGTGCTCCCGGTAGGCACTGGCCGCAGGGCGGCGTGTAACGGGGCTGGTGGTGTCTTCCACTCATCGCTCGGACTCGGTGGTGCTTTCTCCCTGGACAGTCAAAGGCTTCACAGGCAATGCGGGGCAGGGCATGGCGGACCTTCGTTGTCTGCCGTGGTTTACTCTGTCTTTGCCGTGTAGGGGCGTGCGGAGGTTGGCAGCAAAGAGAAATGAACCTCTGGAGCTCTTTGCAAAGCTTTCCCTGCCACGGAAGCGGCTCTGGGGACAGGGATGTGGGAGCCGTGTGGTGGCACCAGCATAACCTCAGAGGAGCACCACAGTGGGTGCTGAGCGCACTGCTCCTCTTCCTGCCCAGGCTGGAGCCTGTCAGCACACGGTGATGGCGGCAGCAGCACCTGGATAACCGGACCCAGCAGCAAGTGCTCCTGGCACACATGGTGTGATGGGGAGAGGGGTGACCTTGAGGCCAGAGGAGCTGCATGAAGGAGCACTTGTCCCACCTCAGAAATGGCTGCAGTCACCTCCAGCCCCTAGCGCCTGCAGAGAAAGGGAAGTGCAAGAGGTGCACACAGGGCATCCATTATGTGGTGGCAGCCTGGAGAAGCTACCTCGCTGTCTTCCTTCCTTCTCTATTCACATCACGGCCTGGGAGAAGATCTGGCAGCTGGCTGCTGGTGACTGTTCCTCCTGGGACTCGGGCCTTCTCCCAAAGCAGGACTGGAAGAAGAGGCAGCTCCTGGCAAACAGGAGTCTGCAGCATAGGACAAAGGTTTCTCCAGCCTCCTGGGAGCCCAGCTTTGGGGAACGAAGAACCACAACATTCCTGGCTTCCATCCCTCCACATTTCCACTTGTAAATCACCAGGATATTTCTCTTCTGGTTTCTGTTTCTAGGGCTCTGTTTGACTCTGGTACAGAAGAAATAAAACTTTTGTTCTTTTTAATGTTGTGTAAAAGAAAACCTGCTCTATGTTATAAAGCTGTTGGTGCTGTGGTCTCAGCTGCCGGCAGTGCCGCAGGCAGTGTGGATGGACCTGACCCCCCCCCCGCAGTCCTGTGTCCATCTCTGGGGGCAACAATACGAGGGATGTGGAGCTGCTGGAGCGTGTCCAGAGGAGGCCATGGAGATGCTGCAAGGGCTGGAGCAGCTCTGCTATGGAGCCAGGCTGGGAGAGCTGGGCTGGTTCAGCCTGGAGAAGAAGGCTCCTGAAGGGGAGACCTCAGAGCAGCTCCAGTGCCTAAAGGGGTGACAAGAAATCTGGAGAGGGGCTTTTGACAAGGGCCTGTAAGGACAGGACAAGGGGGAATGGCTTTAACCTGACAGAGGGGAGACTGAGATAAGCTCTTAGGCAGAAGCTCTTCCCTGTGAGGTTGCTGAGGCCCTGGCACAGGGTGCCCAGAGAAGCTGTGGCTGCCCCATCCCTGGCAGTGTTCAAGGCCAGGTTGGATGGGGCTTGGAGCAACCTGGTCTAGTGGAAGGTGTCCTTGCCTGTGGCAGGGGTTGGAACTGGATGAGCTTTAAGGTCCCTTCCAACCCAAACCAGTCTGGGATTCTGAGACAGCCCTTTGGTAACACAGTCCATAGCCACCATCTTGTCCTGCTACTTGGTCCCCAACACTGCCCTTATGACCCCAAGGCGCTAGGAGAACTGTTACGGGATGGGATACCCTGGTGTCATGAGGAGGAGCTGAGGCTTGTGTTGCCAAAAGACCCCGTCCTCTTCCAGGAGGAAGGGAGCAGCTTTTAGTGCAAAGGCTTTGATGGCTGAGCAGTGGAGCTGTTTGGCAGCCAGCAGGCAGAATGGGCTCTGCCTTCCAGTTGTGCCATAGCTTACACATTCAGGTGCTCCTGCTTCAGTGGAGCTCCAGTGGAATTGGTTGGGCCATTCCCAGTTATTTATTCCAGTGGCTGAGGCTTCTTTCTGCTCATAGTGGCTTCAGTGTGCCTGACTCCCGTGCTTGTTTCTGCTGCTGTGTCACACTCCAGACCCCTCCTAACCCCTGCTTTCCTTCCCACAGTGTGCAAGTACGTGGCAGTGGAGCTGAAATCTGCTTTCGAGGAGACCGGCAAGACCAAGGAAGTGATTGACACCAAGTACGGCTTCCTGGACGGGAAGGGCGCTGCCGTCAAGTACACACAGTCGTAAGTGAGAGCAGGATGGGGGTTCTCCTGCAGTCACTGCTGCAGAAGGCAGAGCAGGGGCTTGGGCAGCCTGTGGAGGGGCTGAGGAAGCTAAACTGTGCCAGGCTATGGGGAGCTCCCCATCACCTGTGCCGTGCTTGGTTCTGGGGGGCTGTGCTGAGCCCGAGCCCTCCCTCCTCTCCATGCAGGGACATCCGGTTAATCGAGGTGACAGAGAACATCTGCAAGCGGCTCTTGGATTACAACCTGCACAAGGAGCGGAGCGGCAGCAACAGGTTTGCAAAGGTGAGGGCTGTGCTCCAGTCCCCAGTAGTCCCCTTGCCTGCCGGGTGCTGCACAGGAGCTCCTTCCCATCCCCTGGCAGTGCCTGGCATGCGGTGCTGTGCTCCCCCCAGGTGAGGTGTGGGTGCTGCACAGGGGGAGCCAGGGGCTGTCTTGCCCTGCCTGTGTCTTCCTGTTGGTTTGGGGACTGGGTTTGCAGATGGGGACTCCCTCCTGACAACGCTGATGCCCCAGGACCCTGATTTTGGCAGGTCTGCAGGGAAGTGTTGGGGTTTCTGTGGATGAGCGGGTTTGCTGTATTGCTCAGGTGTTTCTGGTCGAGGCAAGTAGTGCCATGATAAGGACAGTATCTTCAATTGGGTTGTAAAGCACGGCTTGAAGGGCTGTTGTGTTAGCTTCTGCGCAGCCGTGCCATCTGCCCATGAGAGGAGTGATGTGATTCTGACTCAGCCTATGGTTAGGAGAAATAGGTTGTTTACAGTGGTTGATTTTAGTTACAGCTACAAGGAAAAAGACATTGTTGTGTATGGTTCTGATGCTGTGTCTCATGTTGCAAACAGTGCAATGAGGAGGACTAATGAGTATTACTGGTCTATTTTGAAGCTAAGTGGGATTTTGAAATGTATGATGAATTGTCATCCTCGGTGGGAGGCGATGCTTTCTGACTCCAAGTGCATAAGTAGTGCTATTGGTACTAGGCTGGTTAGAAAGGCTGCTCTAACAGCGAGAGTGGTGGTAGCTGGGGAGGTTTGGAAGTGTCTTGGTAGCAGGGGGAGGAGTCTTGGTGTGAGAATAATTGTTAGTGTAAGGAGTACGGAGCTGTTAAGGAGCACTGTGGTTTCCATCACTTTTACTCGGGAGGGAGTGATGGGAGGAGCGAGGTTTGACCAAGCACCGCTGCTCCTCCAGGGCATGTCAGAGACCTTCGAGACCCTGCACAACCTGGTGCACAAGGGCGTCAAGGTGGTGATGGACATCCCCTATGAGCTGTGGAACGAGACCTCCGCCGAGGTGGCTGACCTCAAAAAGCAGGTACCCTGGCTCAGTGGGATTGACCCTGGCCTTGAGGGTCTGGGAATGGGGGTGTCACCAGGCCCTGCTGCCCTGGTCCTGCCGTGGTGGCACGTGGCTGGAGCCAGGTTCTTCTCTGCGCTAGTGCGATGTGCTGGTGGAGGAGTACGAAGACGTGATCGAGGACTGGTACAGGCACCACCAGGCAGAGGACCTTTCCCAGTTCCTTTGTGCCAACCACGTGTTGAAAGGGAAGGACACAAGTAAGTCCTGCCTGGTGCCCTGGGCAGCACAGGGCTGCTAGGGGGAGGGCAGGGGAACCCCGCTAGGGCACGGGGATCCCCGCTACTCCCTCAGCGCCCCCCCCTCCCCGCTCCTCTTCTTCCCAGGCTGCCTGGCAGAGAAGTGGACTGGCAAGAAGGGCGACTTGGCAAGCGTGGGGGAGAGGCAGGGCAAGAAAAAGAGCGGGAAGAAGAAGAAGAAGGGCCGGAAGGATGAGAGCGAGGGAGCTGATGGCCTCCCACCCCCAGGGGAAGCCCCGGAGGAGAGCGGGGTGCAGGAGGAGGCTCCGCTCACCCACAGCCCAGCCGACGAGCTGTAGGGATGCAGCCGCAGCCCGATGCTGCAGCCCCAGCCGCCGGGGCTGCCTGCTCCGCGGCCTCACCGAACGAGAAGGGACTTGAGCCACGGCGTGAGCGACCCTGTGCCGGCCGGGTGCCGGCCGGTGAGAAGCCGCCCACCCAGACCCGCTGCCTGCGGGGAGGCCGCGAGTGCTGCCCCGGGACCGGCTCCGCGCCCTGCCCGCGCTGCCCGCACCCCGCCGGGACTGTAAATAAAGACGTTTTTTTGCTCCCTGGAGCCGCTGCTGCCGCTGCCGCTGCTGCTTCACCGGCGGTGTCCGGACAAGCGCGGCCCCGCTGCTGCCGCCCGCCCGGCTCCACCGGGGGCACCGAGCCGAGCGCCAGCCGGAGAACAGGCCCTGGCCCCGCCCCCTGGTTCAATCCCAGCCAATGGGCTGGGAGGCGTGGTAGGAGAGAGCGGCGATTGGCGGGTCCGCAGGGGGGCGGGGACGATGGGGATTGGTGCAGGCGCGTGTTGGAGGCGGGGCGGTGGGGGGGTGTGTATCAGGACGCAGGGGCGATTGGCGGGTTACGGAGGGCGGAGCCGGCTGGGATTGGCTGTGCGCGTGGAGGCGTTGGAGGCGCCGGCAGCACCGCTGCCGCTCCGTCCTCGACGTGGCCTGCGGCACCGGGTGAGGCTCCGCGCCCGCCCGCTCGCCGCACAAGTCCCCGCTCCCGCGGGCCCCTCCGGTGCCCCCGCTGACAGCCGTGTTCCCAGGGTGGACTCCATCATGCTGCTGGAGGAGGGCTTCCAGGTGACCAGCGTCGACGCCAGCGACAAGATGCTCAAGTACGCGCTGAAGGAGCGCTGGGAGCGGCGCAAGGAGGAGCCCTTCGACCGATGGGGTGCGGGGGCCGGGGGGGGGTGGCCGGGAGGGGCGTGCGGACACCAACACCTACCCCGGCGCTGGGCGCCCGGAACCCTTCCCGCGGCTCCCCCGGGTGCCGCTGCCCGGGTGGCCTCGCTGCAGGGACGGGCAGGGCCCTGCCGGTGCTGCCTGCTCAGCAAGCACAGGCCATGGCCCTCACCTGCCCGCTGGCCCCAGGCCAGGTCCAGTACGCACAGGGCCCAAGGAAGGGGTGGGTGATGCTGGGGTAGGGTTTGGGGTGCAGGGGAGGCTGTTGGTTAGGTGGGGGGTGTCCCTGTCCCCCTCAGCTGCTCCCCTGTGCTGCAGTCATTGAGGAGGCCAACTGGCTGACACTGGAGAAGGACCTAGAGAAGCCCGGGGATGGGTTTGATGCAGTCATCTGCCTGGGGAATTCCTTTGCTCACCTGCCTGATTTCAAAGGTGAGTTTTTGGGGGGGGGGGGGGGTGGACCTGTGCACATCTGAGAGCGTGCCCTAACTCATGCCATGAGTGGGGCAGGGGGTTACGCACAGTGGAGCTGCTGTGTCATGGCTGAGAACATGCCTCAGTTCATGGCACAAGTGGGGCCATTGGGTCCTATCTGTGTGCATCTCTTGTCACATCTCTGGCAAGGCTGGAGGCACACCCAGACTCGTGCCACGAGCAGGGTGGTGGGTTCCCCATATGCTCTGTCCCAGTGAGGCCGAGAACGTGCCTGAGCTTATAGCATGGGGTGGGGCTGTGCCTGCTCCAAGCTGAGACTGGAAAGAGGAAGAGGGGGGCAAGATGAACCCCCACGGGCTGTGCCATGGGGTGCAACCAGTGCCTGAGGATGCCACGGTTTCCTCTCCAGGGGACCAGAGCGACCACAAGCTGGCCCTGCGGAACATCGCCAGCATGGTGCGGCCCGGGGGTGTCCTGGTCATTGACCACCGCAACTACGACCACATCCTGGCCACAGGCTGCGCGCCACCAGGCAAGAACATCTACTACAAGGTGAGTGCCTGATGGACCCTGGCCCGTCCCTCTCCCCTCCACCCAACCCCAGCGCTGAGGCAAGGCCAAGGAGAAGGGCTGTGCCCAGGGAGCCACCACACAGCCATCCTCCTGCGGTCCCCAGAGCGACTTAACTAAGGACATCACCACCTCGGTGCTGCTGGTGAACAACAAGGCTCACATGGTGACCCTGGACTACACAGTGCAGGTCCCCCCCACTGAGGTGGGGGCATCCCCAGAGCTGAGGTGAGAGGGGTTGCTCGTGGCTTGGGCTGGCTGGCACCGTGTCCCGCTGGCCCCACACCTCACCGGCACTGCCTCCCCGCAGCAAGTTCCGGCTCTCGTACTACCCGCACCGGCTGGAGGCCTTCACAGCCCTGCTGAAAGGTGCCTTCCAGGGCAAGTGCCAGCACAGCGTCCTGGGCGACTTCCAGCCCTACACGCCGGGGCAGGCCCACGTCCCCTGCTACTTCATCCATGTCGTGAAGAAGACGGCCTGAGTGGGCCACCGAGATGGGACCGTGGTGGGCTGAGAGCTGCCAGCAGCTCTGGGGACAAGCACGGGGCCGGGACACTGCCGAGAGCCACCGGGGAGCCCCCTCCCCTTCATTAAGAACACTCGTGACAGCGACTGGAGCCTGTGGTCTGTGTGGTCAGGGGACGGGGTGAGGGGACGGCCGCAGCCTCGTCAGGACCCCCAGGGGAAGAAGCAGCCAGCCTGGGGCAGCATGAGGTGGGTGCAGGCACAGCTTCAGCCCAAGCCCCAGCTGCAGGGGCCAGTGATGACTGTGGTGTGGGGTTTGGGGCTCCTGGGTGTGTGGTTGCTCATCTCCACTGAGCACAGCTCATGGGTGCAACTGGTTTTCTCCCTTTGCGCTCCCAAAACCAGGCTCTGACCCATTCCCTTGACACTCTTACCCCCCGCCCCAAGGGAGAGGAGGCTCTGCACACCCCAGCCTGCTTTTGCTGCGGCTGCAGCTCCCTCCTGCCCGCCCTGGGGAAGAGGTGGTGGCCAGGTCTAGCAGCGCGTTGTGGTCAGGGACAGCTCTGCCTCAACACGCTCAGGTGCCGGAGCAGCAGGGCGCTGGGTCCTCATGCACGGAACACCTGGAGAACCAGTCCTGCGGGGTGGGGAGGTGGTCCTGGACAGCCATGCTCGGCGCAGGGATGCGGCTGCTGCAGCCTTGGTGTATGCAGCAGTGGTAAAACCTCGCTGTAACAACCCCGGGGCCAGGGTTTAAGGTAGAGCTGCCCCCAAGCCCCACCAGCAGCTGCAGGGATGCTGCAGGGGCAGCTGCTGGCCAGCGTGGCTGCACACACGGCACAGGAACAGTGATGTGGCACATGCGGGCTGCGGGAGGAGGTGGGACAGGGCTGCTAAAGGGGTCTGGCTCCCAGCAGAAGCCAGTGCAGCTCCAGCCAAGGGGTATTTCCAAGGCCAGAACCCTGCCTCTCCAGTGATGTTTTTTCCTAGTACCCAGCGGGAATTTTGCTTGCTGCCGTTTGCCTCCATGTCTGCTCTCACCCAGCACCTCCAAGAAGAGCTGGGCTACCCGAGAGGATGCTCAGCTCCTGGATTAGAAAACCCACTTCCTCAGCCTCTCCCCACCTCCCGTGGGCTCCAGGCATTCCGGGGGCTGGCCTCAGCCTGGTTTGCAGCTGTGCTCCCCTAGACCTGCAGGACAGTGGCTCCTCTACAACACCCAATAAGCCCAGGGGCTCACAGGGACCTTCCCAGACCCACAGACCCCACCAGCAAGCAAAGACCTAAGGTCTGAGGCCAGGCGCTGAACACCCAGTGCCAAACCGCTGTATTTATTGAGAGCCCGTGCTGAGGCCAGGCCAGCTGCCACAGCAGTGTCCTGTGCCCTGCTGCCCTCCAGCCAGCACCCCTCACTGGGGGCTGACACCCCAACAAGCAACTCCCTCCAGTCCCACTCCTGCTGCCAAACCAGGGGCAGTTTGGGCTTTGCTCCCTCGCCAATGCTCTGTCACCCGTGAGACACTCCTGTAGCGCCCACAACCATGAGACTGAGCTTCCACCCTGGGGGGGAATGGCCCCAGAGTGCTTCCAGCAGCCACACAGTGCTCTGAGAGGCAAGGGACTGCTGCAGAGCCCCTATTTCCAATCAAGCTCCAAAGAAGGGGCCCAGGATCCACCAGAGAAAGGCAGGCAGGTGCCTGTGCCCGTTCCCTAGCACCCCTTCACACGCTGTGCCCATCACTCCAGTCCCAGCTCTGCTGAGCATCAGCAGGCAGCAAACTTCTGCTGGATGAGTCTGTACCTGAGCAGCTCCTGCTCAGAGACCGACGGCTGCAACCTTCCAGCAGCCTGCAGGAAGTCATCCATGGTCAGGATCAGAGCAGAACTCTCAGTATCCAGCCCTGCGGGAGAGAGGACAGGAAGAGGCTGAGACAGGCATGGGGGTAAGACAGCAAGATCCAACAGCCCCCTCTCCAGCCAGCAGACTGGAAGGAAAACCTCCCCCTGAGGCCAAGGACTGGAGGTAATGATGATCCATCTGCCCCTCTGCTCCGCTCTGGTGAGACCCCCCCCCCCCGCAGTCCTGTGTCCATCTCTGGGGCAACAACACAAGAGGGACTTGGAGCTGTTGGAGCAAAACAAGAGGAGGCCATGGAGATGCTGCGAGGGCTGGAGCAGCTCTGCTCTGGAGCCAGGCTGAGAGAGCTGGGCTGGTTCAGCCTGGAGAAGAGAAGGCTCCTGAAGGGGAGAGCTTAGAGCAGCTTCCAGTGCCTAAAGGGGCCAACAAGAATGCTGGAGAGGGGCTTCTGACAAGGGCCTGTAGGGACAGGACAAGGGGGAATGGCTTTAACCTGACAGAGGGGAGATTGAGATGAGACATTAGGAAGAAATTCTTCCCTGTGAGGGTGCTGAGGCTCTGGCACAGGGTGCCCACAGAAGCTGTGGCTGCCCCATCCCTGGCAGTGTTCAAGGCCAGGTTGGATGGGGCTTGGAGCAACCTGGTCTAGTGGAAGGTGTCCTTGCCTGTGGCAGGGGTTGGAACTGGATGAGCTTTAAGGTCCCTTCCAAACGAGCCTGTAATTCTGTGACTAAACTGCTGCAGTAACCCAGAGCCAAGCATTCAGACACGGTCCCAAAGACATCGAGGCACAGCCCAGTTGCCAGCAGTGGTAACTGGTCCCTTCACCCCATGTGGGACAGGCAGGGGCCGGGCTCCCACCTTCCTCGATCCATTCCACCTTGCGTTTGACAGCGCACATCATGGCATCTGAGCACAGGGCGTAGATGTCTGCTCCCGTCAGCTGAGCTGGGCATCTTTCTAGGACCGTGGTGAGATTCACAGAGGGATCCAGTTGAAACCTGCCACGAGAGAGAACTGCAGGTGTAAGAGCCACAGAACAAACACCAGACCAGGAAAGACACATGATGGGGTTGGAACTGGATGATCCTGAGGTCCTCTCCAACCCAAACCATTCTATGATACAGCAGCCAGCATGACTGGGCCCCGTGTCCCGCAGCCTCTGCGTGCTCCAAAGAAATCAAAGGGGGTTGTGTTTGCTTTCTAAATGCAGTCACTTCCCGATGGAGCACCCCTGCAGCAAGGTCCTGTGTCCTGCTAAGCAGGATCAAAGGCGACTTTGGGTTTTCACTCAGGAGACACCGAGTGCTCCACATGCCTGGGAACAGCCTACAGCCAGGGCTGGACATGAACGTGGTTAATGAGAGACTGCACGAGCCACTGTAACACCACAGCATCCTATCAGGGCCACGCTGCAGACAGTCAGCCTCCTTCAGCACCAGCACGGTGCTGCAGGGCACGAAAGCCAGCACTGGGGTGAAGGGATGCTTACAGCCAGCCCAAGCTCTTGTCTCCTGTGAGCTCACCCTCAAAAGCAGCAGTGATCACAGCTATGCTATAGCTGTGGGGGATCCCACACCACCGGTGTTGGGAAAGGCACACAGAGCACAGGCTGGAGACCCCCGGGTATCACAGGAGGAAAGGCAATGAGATAAACGGAGCGGCCTTCACCCCTAGACCTGCAAACAGTAGGAGATGTGATAGGGTGGCTCTTGCAGGAAGCAAATGGGAGCTTCCTGCCATGCTGCTGCACTGCAGTATCATCACGCTGTTGGGATCTGGCTGAGGTCCTCAACGAGAACTACCTGACAGGAGGATGGAGCCAGGAGGAGGCTGGGCTCTGCTCCCAAGGAACAAGGGATGGGACAAGAGGAAATGGCCTCAAGCTGCACCAGGGGAGGTTTAGGCTGGATATTGGGAACAGTTCCTTCCCCAAAGGGCAGTCAGGCATTGGAACAGGCTGCCCAGGGCAGTGCTGGAATCACCATCCCTGGAAGCATTCACACACCGTGTAGATGAGGCCCTCAGTGTCATGGGTCAGTGGTGGCCTTGGCAGTGCTGGGGCACGGTTGGACTGGGTGACCTTGAAGGGCTTTTCCAACCCAGCTGGTTCTGTGATTCTGCATGTGCACGGTGGCTGGAGAACCCTGCCAACGCCTCCACTGACAGCCACCTCAGACATCTGATAGGAAACCCAGCCCCAGCTGTGCTTAGGAATCTGTCCCATTTTCTTCCCCTCCCTGCTGGCCAGTGCCTCAGGTGCTCTCCGGGGCTCAGACACGAAGCCAAGCTGGAGCACACCACACATGAACCCCAAAAGCAGGCTGTGACCCACTGTGGGTGGCAGGAGGCTGCTGCAAGAGCCCGGGGTTACTCACTTCCTGGTGACGGCGCTCAGCACCTGCAGCTGCGACTCCCGGTCTTCACTGATGCCCACGTAGACCAGTTTGTCAAACCTGCCAGCAGAGAGGAGAGACAGCTGAGAACAGGCCAAGACCAACCTGCCCCTGGGGCACCAGGAACTGAAGGTGGCCCTGAAGCAGCTCCTTTTGCTCTCAAGTTCATGGATGATACAAAGCCTGGGAGGGGGGCAGCAGCTGGTGTGCTGGAAGGCAACGCTGCTCTTCAGAGGGACCGAGGCAGCTGGAGAAATGGGCTGACAGGAACCCCATGAGGTCCAGCAACAGCACATACAAAGTCCTGTCCCACCGTGGCAAGCCACAGGCACGAGGACCAGGCTGGGGGGGACCAATTGCTCCCACCAGTTCGATGCTACAGCAGGTCCCTTCTTGCCCTGCTGTGCTGCTGAGGCAGTAAGCAGAGCGGTGGGGGATGACAAGCAGAGGTATCTTGTGCTGCTGCTGCTACAGCCATGGGCACTTGGCCTCCTCTTGGTGGCTTCGTATCCCCCACCAAGCCAGGCTCAGGGAGCTTTAGCAACAGCCTCTTTGGAGGGAACATGGTGGGGACACAGTCCAGCCCATTGCTGCCTGAGAAGCTCCAGGGAGCTACCTGGAGGCAGGATGGGATGCACCGTACCTGCCCGGCCGGAGCAGAGCTGCGTCCAAGAGGTCAGGCCTGTTGGTAGCTCCAATGACAAACACCTCTCTGGTGGAATGAAGGCCATCAAGCTCAGCCAGGAGCTGCGAGACAACTCTGCAGGGAGCAAGACGGGATGCACACAACTTTGGTAAGTCACCCACTGTCACCCTGGGGACACCCTGGCAGGGCAGTGATGCTGCTGAACAGTCCTCAGGGCAGTGAACAGCAGACCCAGCTCTGCAGGCACAGCGC